GCGCGCATTTCAAATCTGCGAATCTGCGTTTTCTCGAGGAAAAGCAGAACTCAACTATGGAATCTGCGTTTTCTCGAGGAATCGCAGATTCGCAGATTGCAGACTGGTTTGGGGCTACAAATCTGCGAATCTGCGTTCTCTCGAGGAATCGCAAATGGGCAGTTTGTTCTGCAAGCGTCTGAGGGTTAGGGGACGGTGTGGCCAGAACAATACCCAGCTGATGCTCATGATGCTCGCCTCCTGGCTCGCCAAATGGCGCCAATCACTGGGGCAGTTTGTCCTGCAAGTGTCTGAGGCTTGGGGGGGGGTAGCCAGAACAGTACCCAGCTGAGGCTGATGCTCATGATGCTCGCCTCCTGGCTCGCCAAAAGGCGCCAATCACTGGGGCAGTGTGTTCTGCAAGCGCCTGAAGCTGAGGGGGCGGTGTGGCCAGAACAGTCCCAGCTGATGCTCATGATGCTCGCCTCCTGGCTCGCCAAATGGTGCCAATCACTGGGGCAGTTTGTTCTGCAAGCGTCTGAGGCTTAAGGGGCGGTGTGGCCAGAACAGTACCCAGCTGAGGCTGATGCTCATGATTCTCGCCTCCTGGCTCGCCAAATGGCGCCAATCACTGGGGCAGTCCGTTCTGCAAGCGTCCAGATTTGCAGAGGAATCGCAGATTCGCAGATTTGCAGATTTGCAGATTAGTTGGGGGCTACAAATCTGCGAATCTGCGAATCTGCGTTTTCTCGAGGAAACGCAGATTCGCACATTTGCAGCTACAAATCTTCGATTCTGCGTTTTCTCGAGGAATCGCAAATTCGCAGATTTGCAGATTGGTTGGGGGCTACAAATCTGCGAATCTGCGAACCTGGCTCGAGGAAACGCAGATTTTCGGGGCTACAAATCTGCGAATCTGCAAATTGGTGACCTTAGACGTGGGGTTTGGCGGGGGGGGTACTATACACACACACACCCACACACACACACACACACACATATATATATATATATATGTATATATATATATATATGGATATCCTCTCTCTCTCTCCTTTACTCTTAGAATTCAATACTTTGCGCAGAGGCCCAGGCCAAGCCAGTTGTATCTGCAGCGCAGTAGGCCTCTCCGGCACACACAAGAAAGGATGCTTTCCGATACCGGAGCAGAGTCAGCGCTTGCCCAGAATCTATACTTCACGCTTGTTACTAGCATGCTTCCTCCACCTTTTTACCAAGAGCCCTTGAGGAGCAACAAGGTGCGGCAAATGGCTGCACATCAACACCCACAGACACACCGCCGGATGCTCTCACGTGCATCCACTAAAATCTCGCCTGGTTGTTGAGCTCCTTTGCGCAGTCTGAAGCACTCGAGGACAGAAACCTGCCGTCACCATACAGATATGAACACCTGCAACATCAAGGTTCTTTGCCCACATCGCCTGGTTAGCACATGGCTATCGTCATGCACAGAATTGGGGGTTTCCGACTGTAGGGGTGCCGTTTTGGGGGGTCCCTTTTAAGGGGAATTCTACTCAATTTGGGGCATAAAGGGAGTACCCCGATTTTGGGACATACCCAATTGAGCACTTTGCAAGTCTTGGGCCACCGGACGAAGCAACGTCTGCTAGCGCAGCAGTGGAGCCTCGCAAGCTGTTTGTGTCGCTCTCCGATGTCATCCTCTTGGCCCGGTGAAACTGATACGGGAGCTTCCGAATACATGGGGCTCCCTTTTTGGGGGTCCCTTTAAGGGGACTCTATTCTATTTTGGATTTTTGGGGGGTACCCCTATTCTGGGAAATACCCATATTCACGTAACTCCAGGCTTCAGGCCTGATACTGCTGCCGTGCACACAGTCTTCTGGATGTTGGTTGTTTGATCCTTGCAATCCTGGAGCGGGACATATCCGACGAAAGATGCGCAGGATGAGTTCACACTTGTGTCTACGACATTCTTCAACTTCGCCGCAAAGTAGGCCATGTGTCTGGAAGAAACTAGGATGACAAGCGACTCTGGACTAGTGACTAGGGTTGCTGTCACTCTCACTGTCTGACCAGTAAACCCGCCACCACATGCCACCCCTAAAGGCACCCAGCCCAGTTCTCCGCCAAACGGTCCTTGCTCGCTGCATTGATGCTCAGTCCGGCAAAGCCTGCACACAGCAAACTCATAGCAAGAACAAAGCCCGACTTGTGTCAATGCGATTCCTGCCAGCAAGCATCTGCTCATGCATCACATCTTGGCCTATGCTGTTCACAGCACCCCACACCTGCAGCGCGCAGACCCCACATGTCACATGCCCTCTGTTCATCAAATTGCCATGTCTTCAGCTTTGAAACACGTGGCAGGCTGGCGTCAAAGCCACACGTGACAAATTTGGCCTCAGGGTTCTATTTGCTGGCAGACGAATGCGCAGTTGCTGGTCGGAGCACACTGCACTCGCTTCTACCTGCCTTGTCCGCAGAGTTAAAGTACTTCGGTGAAGGGCGCGCATGGCACCTAGGCCGGATTGCAGACATCCAGCATACCCCTGGCTCAACCCGAGCGTTCTGGCACCTTCACGGTCACTTGTTATCGTGGCATACAGTAACGTCAAGTTCTGGGCAGTGGCGGGAACAAGGCGAGAAGCATCGGCTTCTCAGTTGCGCTGAGCGCCCGCGCGGGAGCCACAACAAAGCCAAGGACCAGGTGAGGCGCGCCAGGTGCGCCATGGCAGACTCAACAAGCTTCAGTGCAGATAAGATGCTTTGCCCTCAGACTGTGACTAGAAGTCCACGACTATTGCGACCGTGCGGCAGCAAGTATGTTAGGTACCTCTTTGTGTATGAGAGCCTACTCTGCACGGAGCTGGCAAAGTTGGTCATTGACAGGCTTTGTCGACTTGCGCAGCTTGATCCTGGCATCTTTTGGGCAGCTGGAGCCTTCATCCTCAGGTAGGTTTAGGGTTTAGGGTTTAGGGTTTAGGGGTTAGGGTTTAGGGTTTGGGGTTTAGGGTTTAGGGATTTTAGGCGAAGGACTCGCAATCCTGGTGAAAGCTCCTGGGCGCCGCACCTCTTTAATTTCCTCAATCCTCGGTTGACTCTCGGGGTCCGGGGAGCTGCCCACAGCACTGCACCAGCTCCCCTAAACCCTAAACCCTAAACCCTAAACCCTAAACCCCAACACAGCGGTCAGGCGAGTAAGGAGGGATCTCATCCTGCTTGAGACCAGGTCTTTCATACTTCCTGGCCTGCCAGGGCTTCGAAAGAAGGCACCAAGTCGCCAGGCGTCTCAAATTTGCCCAGCTTGTTTAGGGTATTGATCTACTATTCCTATTATTATTCTTCTTCTTATCCTTATTATTTATTGTTAGAACTACTCTTGTTATTATTCATTATGATTATTAGGGTACCATTATGTAAAACTATCTGTTCAACTACTTTGTCCACCCACCGGCCACCTGAAAGTTCTGATGCTTCGCCTTGGAGGCGTGCATGACCTCGAGCCGAGGCAAGGCGCCCCCCTAAGAAACACCGAGGTGAACCGCAAGCACCTTGAAACACTCGGAGACCCGTCTGAGACACTTAACGCAGTTTAGGGTTTAGGGTTTAGGGTTTAGGGTTTAGGGTTTAGGGTTTAGGGTTTAGGGTTTAGGGTTTAGGGTTTAGGGTTTAGGGTTTAGGGTTTAGGGTTTAGGGTTTAGGGTTTAGGGTTTAGGGTTTAGGGTTTAGGGTTTCGTGCTGGTGCCCTTGACAAAGGTTGCGGGCTGCCTAAACCCTAAACCCTAAACCCTAAACGCCGCCCTAGACCCTAAACCCTAAACCCTAAACCCTAAACGCCCTAAACCCTGAACCCCCTAAACCCTAAACCCTAAGGCCCTAAAACCCTAAATACCCCAGACCTGAAGCACTAAACCCTGGCAGCCTCACGGCAGCCAAGACTAGGCGTGCGGCGGAGGCTCACCGGCCGGCGTCCCCCCCCTCCCCCGAAAGGAGCCGAGCTTCCCTTCAACGTCAAAGAGCTAGGGGCTTTCTGTAGGAAGTCAGGGAACCCACGATCCACTTGCCTACGGAAAGTGGGAACTGACACTGCAAACTCGCCCCAATGCAACCAGCAAGGATCTCATCAGGCCGGCGGCACACATGGGACGACATACAAGCTGCTTTTGTCAAACTTGTGAGACGCGGCGCTAGCCTTGGGCCAGTTTTTGGCCTTGTCGGAGACTTAAACTGCCTAAAGCCCGCCCTTTGAGATTGCGGCCCTACAAACATTCTGTACGAAGCCGTTCAGAGCCATGGCAGAAGAAGGTCAGACGCAATCCCAAAGGACATGGGTCGGTTTAGGGTCAACTGTGCTCCGAACTCGGAGCTGCTGGGAAAAGAGGGGAGGGGGTGGGGGCGGGGGCGAAATTGAGGAGAGTGCTGGTTACTAGTTCTCTGCTGTTGCTCGGAGCTCCTTACTGGCTTCTACATTGGGCCGAGGTTTCGGGGAGCTCCGTGGCGTGTTCGAGATGCCCGGGGGCCACCCCCGCGCTGAAATCTACACCACCGTGCCACTCACACACATCAACCCATATTGACGAACGTGAGAATTGGAGACAACGAAAAACGAAAACTATAGGAAAAAGTCTGGAATGCAATGGAATGCTTATATATATATATCCATATATATATATATATATATATCAGCAAACGAAGAAATCCATACGTTGGTGGCAGTTGGTGTCCTCGCAAGCCCGCATTTAAAGGGACGCTGCATCGAGGGTGTGAGCGCGTAGCTCCAAGGAAGAAGAGCCCACGCAGAAACAGCACGTGACCCTGCGCACTACGGCAGATTCCAAAGCCTGACTCGGCCACATGTGTCGAGAGAGGGGAGGATGCTATCCCAACTCCGATTACTGCGCCCATCAAGCCGCTAGCCTTCGCACAAACAACATTTGCTGCGGAACAGAATGAGTGAAAAGGGGACCATCTTCGAACCACATGATGCATCCAGCTGGATTTGTTGAAACCAACCCAGCTACCTACTCCACGCCGCAGCTTCAAGGAACCATGACCTGAGTTCGAACATGGTTGTCTCCCGTGTCTGATGATCGCAGTGGGCACGGCGAACAGTCCACCATCTTTGAGCATAAACCATGCGCGGCGATGCGACTCTGGGCCACGAGCCGTGGCTTCGATAAAGCGACGCCGATAGACCTTTGCTTGCAGACATCTCTGGGCTCCGCAAGGACCCAAGCCGGCCAAGAACAGCAAGGAGCACTGCAACGATTTCTACGGGCTCCTGAGTTTTAGCTCCGAGCCGTCGAAATGCTCGGCATGCTAGGCGACTTCCGCGACCTCGATACAGGCTCAATTCTTAATTTATACTCCGGTCAGAACTTAATCAAAACAGCTGCACTGGCACCCGACCCACGGCAGAGAATTAAATCACACTCACTAAGGCATACCAAAGCACTTTGCAAAGCACTTTGCAAAGCCTGAAGCCGATAGAAAAAGCGCCTCTCGACGGCGCTTGGCTGCTTCGAGACTCGAGTTCCCAGCTCCTCCCAGATCTGGGCCTTGCCGGGGTCCAGCCGCACCTGCGAAGGGACTTGCACTCGGGGATCCAGTAGACTACTGATAATATTCTTCCTTATTTGGGGTATTGTGGGGATTATTTGTTCTTTATTCTTTTGGGCCCCCGACCCCCTCAGCCCCTCGAATTGAAGTTGTATGCGGCCAACAAGATGACAACCCTGGGACTCTTCATACCCGAAGTCCGAAGTCCGTAAGAGAGCACATGGCCTGGTTGGGATCTATGCGGATCTGCTTGTGCAGAAGGTGTCGTGCTGTGACAAACTGGGCAAGGAGACGGCCGGAGCGCCGCAACACATGACACACCTCACACACGCCCCTGGCCAGAATGACAAGGCTTTAAGGGTCAACTCAGCCCACAGCTTGGCTCTCATCAGGTCGGCCGTTCGTGCCAGGCAGGCGGTTCAGCATGTGCTTGGTACCATCGGGCGTAACCTGACAAGCAGCTTTCGCTGGCAGCAGAACTGTGGACTCCATGCTGCCCCACGCAGTGGCTGAAATCTGTACCGTGTACCACACACAAACACGCACCCACGCAGGCAAACCTAAACACGGCACCCGGAACACGCATCATCGCTAGCTGTCTGGGACATCGGCATAAGCCACCTCGACGAGGACCTTGTCCGATGGACTCACCTCGCATTCGCCGCATGCACTTCCGACTCGGCCGTGCTGCTCCAAGGTTGGGGGGTTTACGATAGAAGGGGGGGGGGACCTTTTTGGGGTCCTTGTTATGAGATATTACAAGGGAATCCTACTATTTGGGGGTTTCCGAAATAAGGGGTACCTTATTGGGGTCCTTCTGATAAGGGAATCCTACGATTTGGGGGTCTATATCAAGGGTCCCTTACTATCGTACACCCCCAGATTGGTCACGGCTAGACAATGCTCAGGCGTGGTGAGGGGCATCACTACAGGGTTCTGGTCACCATCACTACCCACGACCCACTTTTTGACCTGCGCAGGAGAACGGCCGGAGCTTCTCAGGGCGTGACAATCACCAAGTAGACCTGATCCACCACCCTGACAACCTGGCTGGTGAAGGCGGTCCACGTCACTCTGCTTCCAGCATCTTCCAGCTTGAAGCTTCAGACTTGGGAGAGGGTTTCTCTTCCCCAACCCTAAACCCTAAACCCTAAACCCTAAACCCTCAACCCTAAACCCCCCCAAGCGACACTGTGCGAGATTATGATGCTGCCTTGCCGGAAGCATCGAGTAGCAATGAAGACCTCATTGACGGCTGAAGGAGCCCTGCTTGACACGCACTGCACATGCCATCAAGTAAACCCCAAACCCTAAACCCTAAACCCTAAACCCTAAACCCTAAACCCCAAACCCTAAACCCTAAACCCTATACGTATTAACTTGACATCACAAGCTGCACAACTCACCAGTTGCAAGATGTTTGCAAGATCCGGGCTGGCCAGAAGTTAGCTCACGAGAGAGGTCCTTCAGGGTCCTCGGTTCCATGGCTCCATGGCGGTGATTCGGTGACTCACGGCTCTCAGCCACCAGCAGCACATCCGGCGCGAACCAGAGGAGCTTTTGAGTCGCAGGCTTGGCGGAGCTCGTGCCGAAGCCTTACTGTCACAGCAAGCCCACGGCCACATCCCCTCATAGGCACCACCAAGCACAAGCGCAGCTTCGTACACAAAGTAGGCCCAAAGCTCTCGGTGTCAATGCTGTGGCCGCGCAGGTATGCAACCAGATCCTCAAGAAATGCACAACAGTGCACGACACACGGCACATCCATTCGCTGCCCCTTGCAAGCATCACAGTGCGTCCTCTTCATTGAGACCCACTGGAGGCATGACCAGGCCACTGACCTGCCCGCAGGCACTGCTGCCATGGGCCCTTCATCGTGTTTTGGCAGATTTGGGGGTTTACGATAAAACAAGGGACCCCTTTTCATACAACTCCAAATAACAGGACTCCCTAAGAATAAGGAGCCCAATAAGGTACCCCTGATTTCGGAAACCCCCATTTGGGATGACGATGGGTGAAGAGGGGGCCTCCTCGCTGCCTTCGGCCATGAGCTTCACCTTTCAGCAGAAGCTCCCGCACACGTACGTGTGTGTGTGTGTGTGGGAAATCTAACCACAAGGCAAATAGCTTCGTGTTGGCCTTCTTGTCGTGAGCTTCTTGCTCTGTCATCCAGGCAAAGGACTTGAGATTGCCCTTGTGGTCCTGCCAGGTTCACCACGACATTTAACAACGGAATGTTCACACGCGGCAAGCACTGCCGGCTCTGGACCCGATCTGCAAGGTCTCTTGATGTGCAAGCATTGCCGTAAACTCAATCTACATGCCGTGATGCTTACAGGAAGCTTCCCCATGTACATTACCAATGCGCTGTTTCCCAGCAAGCCAATCTACAAATTTACTGCCCAGTCTTCTCTATGAGGTCAGTGGGATCAGTGGGTTTGTGGCTGGCTCCGCGCTTTGTGCACACTCATTTGCGACAGGGAGTCCCATAACGGAGGTACTGTGATCCTACTGATCATAGGTCCTATTCGATTACCAGTAAAGCAGATACACAGCCTAGCCGCTAACAACGTGGTTTAAGGCGTAACATGGTGGCATCATCGCAAGCATGCAAGCTGCCACAGGGTTGCTTAGCAACTGTCTGCGGCACTGAACGCCTTACCTCGCGCGGTAAGCCGGCACGCATGACCTGTACAACGTGTACACGTGCCGACAGCATGCAAAACAAGGGCCCCATCTTGCTCTGAAGAGAGGCCAAGCGCATTATCGAACGGGGACGCATTATCGCATGGAGGCATATTGTGTGGCTACGCGTGGCTCAAACTGGCGTCGTTCAAGCAGCCTTCTTTGAGACTGCGGGTGTCCGATTGCTTATGGAACTGTTGGGTTCTTTCGGGCACATTTTATGGATGTCTGAACTCGAGTTTGGCAAATGTCTGCATAGCATTCCAGTGGACAAAACATTCGAGCAAGTGATGAACGACTCCCGCAGCCCCTCATACACTGTGCCCTTCAGGCCAGTTACTGCCTGGAGCAGGTCACGAACCATGAGTACTCAGGATGAGCCCCCGCTGAGTAGGATGGTCGTGTCATCGTGCCTCGGTGACCAGCCTTGTCGCGCGAGCACCCGCGCGGCTGGGCAAAGCTAACGGTCTCGGGTCTCCTGCCAGGGTTTAGGGTTTAGGGTTTAGGGTTTAGGGTTTAGGGTTTAGGGTTTAGGGTTTAGGGTTTAGGGTTTAGGGTTTAGGGTTTAGGGTTTAGGAATTGGACTACACTCAGCACTGGCAGAGCTCTGCAACACGTGATCCAGTCGTCTGTCGACCAGCGATGGTGTCACTACTTCTTGCGCAAACAATCGACTCGAGCCACGCTCCCCTCCTTCACGGTTATTGCCCCTGCCATAGAAAGAGGAGCGCGCTTTCGATACTTCTTCCTCGGCTGAGTCGTTTGTTGCAGAATTTGTGGTGGCCAAATCTGGGAAGCCTAAACCCTAAACCCTAAGCCCTAGGCCCTAAACCCTAAACCCTAAAGACTGGCAAGGGCAACTGAGCCACACATCCACTGGTCGTTGTGGAGAGCAGCTCCGCCTGTCCTGAGACGCTCACCGGTGCAACGGAGCAACTCCCTCAGGGTTTAGGGTTTAGGGTTTAGGGTTTAGGGTTTAGGGTTTAGGGTTTAGGGTTTAGGGTTTAGGGTGTAGGGTTTAGGGTTTAGGGCTTAGGGCTTAGGGCTTAGGGCTTAGGGTTTAGGGTGCCTGACCATGACTGGGAGTGCTGAGAGTACTGTTTGGCCAAGGCCATGACCAGGTCTCCCGAGTAGCCATGGCTGCCGACAGAAAGATCTCAGGAAAAGCGGAGTTCTGAGAGCCATGTTTGCTGAAACCGCCTCATGAGCCAGCCTCTGCTCGGTGCTTCCAACTCGTAGTGGCTCGAAGCACCTGATCGCTGGGGACCCCTTTTTTAAGGATCCTCTAAGGGAATATAGAGGCCGCATCACTGTAGGAGTATACTAGGGAACCCCAGTATGTCCCTGCCACTCGGCCCTCCAGTGCACACCCGGCGCCTGGGCTCGGCCCACGGCTAAGCGCGTTCCCGGAGTGCGCGAAGTGCCCGCCTGCATCAGCAGCGCCAAAGCAAACCCATCGCAACCTGAAGGCCTACAACGGGGGCACAGGGAGGGGCAGCCAAGATTGCCGTCATGCTGCGAGCATGCAAGTCTCTGCACATGGTCACATGAGTCACATGCACCACAAGTTGGGCCTTCGAAGCTGCGGCTTGGGCGGAGGGCATCCACCTGCAGCTCACACAAAGCTATTGGGATGCCATAGAAACACACCGCTGCGGACGAATGCGAAAGGAATGACGCCGACGCCTCAATCCCTTCGCCAGAGATTTGTCCAAGCCTGGGAGAGCCGTGACCGCACATCTTTGAGTTCTGGTGTCTCCTAAACCCTAAACCCTAAACCCGAAAGCCTAAACCCTAAACCCTAAAACCTGTCCAGGTCCTTGCAAACTAGACTTCCCAGGTCCCCCAGCCGGTCCAAGATGTCCATGTCTGCAGGCTCGGGCTTCGCCGGCCTCGCGGGGCGTCGTTCTTTGAAACCGCGGAGCAGCAGTTTCTTTTGACACCCGGGCTGACCCCACCGCTTCAGCTTATATGGACCTTGTGCTAATGTTTTAATGCTTCTCCTACTCCGCCCACTTTTACTGCCAATACGACAAGGCGTTCGTGACGGTGTACCCGAGTCTTGAGCGATGTTCTCTCCAAATCCTCATTGTTTTTCGTTCTTTTCGCTTGAAACGCCTTCTTGCGTCTTGGGGTTAGGGGGAGGTGAGTTGGTTACTTACGACCATGTTACTCCAAACTGCCCAAAACACCGGCAGTAGCATTTACAGCGCTTTTGCTCCTTGATGCAACATGCTGCACCAGCATTTTTGAACAAGACGCACTGCCACAAGCCTTTTGCGATTTTGTCCACAAAACTGGTATGTCCAGCATTTTTGCCTTTAATAAAGTATACTGAGTACAAGAGTATATCAGTATATCTGATGTCTCTGCAACCGGGCGCGCTGTCACAAGTGTTCATGCCGTTTGTGAACATGCCGCAAGCACTGCTATTTTTGCAGACAAGGCCGCGGCCATAAGTCTTCGCCACTACTACCGACGTCGACGACAACTACGACTACGACTGCAAAAACACTACTTCCTTGGGGCGGGGGGGACGGTCGATTTTTCCTGTGCAGCTGCTTCCAGTGCCCTTGTCTGCAAAAACTGTGGAAAAAACCTAAGGGCTTTTCGCCATTTCTATCGACTTGCAGCTTTTCTTGCCTTTCATTTCCTTGGCACACTTCCTAAGAGCCTTGCACTTCCTAGAAAAGCCTTGCATGGGCCATGAGGGCCTTGCATTTCCCATGGGGGCCTTGCGTTTCCCATGCCTGCATGCACGTGGCGCCCCACGAAGGTGCAGCTCAGAGGTGACAACAACTTAAGGGTTTAGTATTCAGGGCCTAGGTTTGAGAGTTTAGGGTGTATGATTGTGGCCTAAGCCCGAAAAAAGCCTTAACCTAAACCCTGAAACCAAAAGCCCAAGCCAAAACCTTCAACCCGCAGCAGTGCGAGACCAAAACAACAAATCTCAATCTCAAGCATCAACCCAAAAAATGCCTAATTTCCGGCCCTCGCAGCTCTGAGTAGGTCTTCAAAAATACACGACGCCTGCCACACTTTAAGGCAGTTGTTATGCCGAAAACACGACCGTCACACACGCGAAGCGCGTACGACGGCGACGACGACGACGACGTCGTCTGCTACTGCTGCTACTCCCACTACTACTGCTACTCGTGCTGCTACTGCGGTGAGGAGGATGACGACATCGCCAACGACAAAGGATGGCCTCGAGGTGCTGCGTGCCTTACCATCCCGCTCTGACCTGGGACTTCTTTGCTTTGACAAGATTTGCCAAGGAGTCATGAGAAGCCGACTCAGCATCCTTTCGGCTTGGCCGCGACCTTTCACAGTGAACTGCATGCTATGTTGCGCGACGGCCACACGTTCTCGCAGAACTTCGGAGTCTATGCCAGAAATCGTGGACCCAACATGACCAAACAAACCAGAACAAACACCTCAACACCTGGCCTGCTTCGCTGCTTTGGCTTTTCATCTGGTCTGTGGCTCGACGCCTTCAGAGTAAAAAGAAGTTTGGGATCTTGGCTACCACCGATACGAAACGGCAATCGGCACAGCTTCGGCACAGCTTCGGCACGGCTTCGGCACGGCTTCGGCACATTCGGCACATTCGGCCCATGGGCCTCGGAGTTTCGATCCTCCGCATCGCCTGCCATAATCTGCCCAATATGGAATTCATGCACATTCTCACGCACGTGCTCATGACAATGCAGCCATGCGGCTGGCCACGTTTCCTCAGCAGCCCACAAACAAATTGCTGTCACAAGCGCAATGCCCCGTGCTCTCCTGTGCTTATGTCGGCGACCATCTCCAACTGCACCGGCTGCCCCCCCCCCAAAGGCGCGGACGGCGGCGCGATGAAGCCCGAGACTTTGCAGGCCTCAGAAGCGAGTGAGGAGCGTTCCATATACAGGAGCATTCTGCGGTAGCATCGCTAAAGCTTGCGCGATGGTGAGCTGCGGATTGTGAGGAGCACTCTGAGTCACCTGAGCGTCTAACCTGGAGCTTGTTGCACCGGCCTGTGACGCAGGTGATGCAGGTGGTGCGGATGGCAGTGCCAATACCGTTCCAACACCAAACTTGGTCCTCGTTGAACACCAGTGAGCGTCCTAGTGTCCGGTTCACTGAGATGTGCAGAATCCGACCTGCTCCAACGTCGCTCGCCAAGCAGCATGGACGCGCTCCTTCGCAGGATCTCAGGGACGTAAAGTTTGTTCGCTTACCATTCCATGTATTGTCAGCATCGTAGCTGCCAAGATCAAACCATCCTGACCTGCCCGATCTGGAGCCGCGAGCAGAGAAACGCGAAAACCGAAAGCCAAAGAGATGACTCTTCCAAAAGAAAGTCCTCAACTTTCGAGAAGTCAGGGTTGCCGGAGTTGACCTCTACAACAGGCATGCACACAATCACACGCTCGCACAGAGCCGCCTGTTTACTAATCAACAGCAACAACATATGCAGTGGAAAGCCATGCAATCGATCGTGCAAAGGGCACTCACAACACCGCGCAAGCAAC